CCTCTGTGACCCACACATCTGTATCGTGTGGTCTGTAAGCCCCTTGTACTCTGAACAAGAAAATGGCTTTCTTACAAGCAAGAAAAAAAAAAAATCACTATTCATTTTCTTAAAACCTCTCCCCTACTATTTCTTGCTTTCCTCCAACTTCTCCCTTCTTAGTGAGACACAGCAGCTGACCTCTAACTATGACTAACTCTTCAACATAGCCCTCTGCATAAGGCTTTCCAGCACATGTGTTTACATTTAGATTTTCTTGCATTGTAAGTCAGCAATAACTATCCCAAGTCCCCAGGGCAAAGACATCAAAAGAAAAGCAGAAGTCCATAACATGTTGTACGCACTATGCCATAGGCAGCATTTACCAGTAGGCTGCATGTAGCAGACTCTCAGTTCTTCTCCAAGAGGTACCAAGTCTTTAAAACATGGAAGCCCAAGGTGACCTCAGAGCTGATCATGCCAAGGCACAAAACCAAGTCACTGCCTCCTTCTCCAGAATGTTCTGATGGAAACATGCAGATGCTGCCAGGGACCAGCAGGGAAGCAAGGACAGTGTCTGAGGTGAGGAAATAAGGAGGGAAAAACATGGAGCCTTTCCTTTGCCCATCTCTAGCAATTTGGTGAGCAAGAAAGGAGACAAAATAGCCTCGTTCCCTCAGGGAAATGTAATCACTCACTGGGAGAAGCGTTGAGTGTGCAGGCTCCGTTAAATCCTGCAGAGTTACCTTCATCATGGGCACCACCGACTTTCCTACAAAATTACGTCAGGGAAGAACTTACTGGTACCCTCACCTTACGTCCTGCTCCAATAACTGTGCCGTGCTGCTGGTGGTCATTGCGTTTGTTAAATCTAAGAGGGCGTAAGTCCTGAAGAATGTGAATCTTTTCTGCTTACCAAACATCAAACAGCCTGCAGGAAGGATCTGTGCAAAATGCTTCTCCTGCAACGTCCAGCCTGGGCAAGAAGGGGTGATGCTCCATCCCCCTGAAACCCGGCTGCGGGTGACAGGTAGGCTAGTGACACTCCTTGCATCAGGTAACTCATGCCAGTAAAAGGCCTGGCTTCACAAAGTGGACTCCCATGCAAAAAGAAACAACTAAATGGGAAGGCATTTGTCATACTGATGGTCTTACTAAATGACACCATTAAAGAACCATAAGCAAGAGATTGGTAATGAGCAAGTCAATGTTATCATTTGTTCTCATTTTCCAGGCTGGCTCAGGACCAACTCTTCATTTTTTATCGTAAAGGAGAACAGATTAAAGAGACGTATAAAGAAATCAAAGAAATTAGGCATATCAACAAGCTGGCAGGTAAACAATTGTGATTCAGCTAGACAACTGTCAACCTCTAAAGGGAGGATGGTACACATTTGTATTATTTTTTTTTTCAGTCTTATTTTATCTCATTTCAGATTACTCCCAGCATGACCATTAGTATCCTTACAAAGCATAAGACTGAGCTGAGCATGTGTTCAGCTCCTGCACCGCAAGGCTTGCTTTAGCCCACCCTGAGGACGCGCACTGGGGGAGGCTCCCATCGCAGCACTGAGGACTTGGCCACAGGGAGGATGGCCCGCCCTCCCCGTGCCTAGGAATATGAGTTCATCCCCTGCAGAAATACCACGAGACAGCAAGTTTAGACTATGGCTTTTCTCCCAATTTTTCCAAACTTTGGAATGTCAGACCCCTGGGAGGAATCCCTCCCCAGGGATGACCTTGACACGTAACTCAGGCTAACACAGGCTCATGAGTCAGCAGCTGGATTTAGGATCTGATTCAGCCCATTTAACCTTAGGCATTTAACAACGCACTCAGTTTAGTTTCCATTAACGCCCCATGTAATTGGCGCAGAGTGATCGGCACCTCTGTGGTGAATGATCTCCGGTCTCGTAGTCTCTCTGGTGAAGAAGTGGGACAGTACAGTAATTCTGAACACTGGGTCATAACTGTATGTTCATTTGAAGCGACTCATTCATTTTAACGTCAGCACTGCCTAAAAATTATTTCCAACTCCCCAAAACACAGACTGCTATCATTTTTTTAAACTAATTCAGCTTAATGCTCCATTCAAAACTCCCCACCATAGCTTTGTGACTAAAACCAGTTATTTTCCCAAATGTTACAGCACCCTGATTCCACATCTGCTGAAGATACGATGCAGTCTCAGATTTTCTGCTGTAGTCTACCATGATTAATTTTAGTCTGTGCAAGTGGGCGGTAGAACAAAGGGAGAAGCGGTCATGGAAGCCAAAATCTGTATCCAACTATGGGAAGATTAGCAGTACCTAAACACAACAATGTCTCAGCAGGGAATATAGGAAACAAGTAAACATTAGAAATAGCACATCCCAAGTAGTACACGTAGCATATCCCAAACTCTGGAGCTAGCAGATACATAGGGTATTCTGTACTAAGGAGGAATGTGCCAGAGGGAACCTCTGTTTAACACTCTGGTTTTGGTTGAGGATTTTATTAGCATGTGAGCAGTTCTGTGTGTACAAATGCATTCCTTAAAGCTCTCATCCATCCGCAAAAGCACATGGGCAACTTTAATACATGGATGCATAGATATAATAAATACTTTTTTTCCTAATGATTTTTCCATATGAAAAATCAAACCCTAATGCAGCATGCAGGCAGCAGAATGGCTGGAGTATGCAGGCAGTGGCTGTGCCTGGAAAGAGACATGGATATGTATGTTTGTGTGAATTCCAGTCTGCATTAATTCATGCCCACAAAAGCTTATGTGCTGTATGAGCCTAGAAGAGCAGATCTGAAAAAACATTTTGTACCTTATACCCATTATGTACTTTTGCTGTCAACTCACATGCTGGGATCATTGCAACAACTGGGAAACCTATGATGATATAAGTCCTCAATATAATCTATCATCGATTTGTAGCTAATATAATTTTAAAGAGAAACATTTATAGAAATAAATTTTGTAATTTAAAAATCAGTTTTGATACAAATGAAGATTTTGCAAATTTCTTTCATAGAATCAGAGGTTTTTTTAAAAAAACCACAAATGCTGAAATTCCCTTTAAAGCAAATTTCAGTTTTTGACAAGCTCAGCTGTAAAGAATGGGACAACTGGCAATCTTCAATATTTCAACGCTTTATGTATGAGAGAAAAGGGGTTGTTGAAGACTGAATGTTTACCAGACCATTTTTTTTCCTAGAAAAGAAGTAGCAATTTTTTTCATCTGTGACCCAATTCATGTCTGTCTATGTGACAACTACAAACTTTAAATGCAAGCTCTTCAGCATGGGCTCGATCTTATATCTGTAAAGCATCTAACACACTTAGGTCATGCTAAGCACACTTAGGCATGCTAAGTAAATGCATAAAAGAATACCCCCAGAAATGCAAATTATGATTTTCTGTATATTCCTAAACTTCCAAGAAATCTAATAGGCTTTTCAAGTACTCAAAAATACCTTCTTAAAAATACCTGTTGTTCTTTGCTAGGAGTAGCTAGCATAATTAAAGTATCCACTTTAAGACAGTTTCTTTTATTTTAGCCTAAGAGCAATAAATTCTCGTCGTGAGACTCATGTTTCCACAGTGCACCTCCCTGGAACAACCTCAAAATCCTGCAAAATCCCCACTCCCTGATGGGAAGAGACAGAAAAAAACCCAACCCCAAACTTAAGGGCTTTTGGAAGAAAGGCAGGCTCATCATAGACATTAAACCAATCACTACATAAAGACCATAGTCAAAGTATTCAAATTTTGGGGTCTCATCTGGTGGTCTGAAAGGGTTGAGCACATATGAGCAGCCAAAGAGCTCTGTAGTCTTCAGACTTGCCTGAGTTTAGTACTGGTGAGTGCTGGCCAGATTTCCTCCTAACGCCTCCTGCTGTGGTGCAGCTAGAGCTGAAAAAGTTCAAGCTGAGGAAGGTAGAATTCAGTCCTCAGTACTTCTAAATGTAGCTCAGAATTTAAGACATTTCTTGGGTTTTGATGACTTTTGCATTTATCAGCTTAATAGGATGAATGGAAATAGCAAAAGAAAAAAATACAAACATTTATATTATGAAAAAAACTTTTAGGAAGACATATTTGTGTACTGAAGATTGTTAGGAGACAATCTCTCTCTAGAGAGCTTCTGGCCATTGCCAATGAACACTGCAGTGAAACCTGGACAGCCGCAAGTGATGTAAACCTTGACTCACTGTGTTTTCAAAAGGAAAACAGGGCTATGGTGTACATTTTGCTGGGAAAAAACCCACCATGCAAGGATTTCTTTCTGTTCCCAGCTCAGGAGCTGCAGAGAGGTCATAGGCCTGTAAATGAGGGCAGTACTTCACCCGGATACTGCAGACCAGAAACTGGTTTCAATTGAGAAACCAGGACTTTATTTTGGGCCCTTTTCAAGCTAGTGCAATGACAATTTCACAGAACAGTAAACTTCACCCCAGACTTCAAGTGCAGTCAACACAGTACTTAGGAACAACATCAGTCAACATCCAGAGTAGCACCCCTTGCATTTTACCTTATGAAATAACGGAGGCACCATACAATCCTCTTTTTGAAAGCCGGCCCACAAGAGGCAATGGCTCTAGCTGACACCCAACAGACTGGAAATACCAGCTCAGTGTTCTACCTTATAAAATGCTGCTAATTTTACTCCAGCTTCTGTTTATTTAAAGTTATATTCTGCCATCTTACACATAACTCAATGCATATACAGATTCACATAAATCAGTGGGGCTACCTGCCTGCTGAGGCATTCCCAAATAACCATTGATTTCCTATCGCGAGTTAAGGCACCATGAAAAATTAGAAGGAAGTCGAATAAAACCTGAAAATATGTACAATTGATACCACAGCAAATGCTGATCTAAAGGCTGTCTACCACCAGAGACCAACTTTTTTTATTATAACGTGTTTTATAATGGCATACTATCCAATACAACTGCACCAGGTGGATTGATAACAAGCATTGTAAAATGTCACAGATTAATAAAGAGCGTAGTGGCTGCTAATTTACCTCCATCTTGTGAGTTCATGATATTCAGAGCAAACAGCATTGCATTGGAGAACGTGGTGGCCTCTTCTTTGCTTGCAAAATTCAAGCCATAGACCTGCCGTGCATCGCGCCATTGATGAAAGGTAGGTGTTGCTTGATTGTACTTCAGTCCTTTCACAATTGAGTAATTAATGACTACCTGTGATTTGAAAGAGAGGGTCGAAGATTAAAAATAGTTCTGTTTTCAGTGGGGAAAAAACCCCAACCCTTTAGTAAAGGATAATTAAATTGGTAGAGACAATTCATATAGCAGCTCCAACATGGCTGTACGGTAAGGCAGTGCACGTTTCGATTACAGAAGACCCACATCTGGGGGGTGAGATTTACAACACTTCCATTCAGCCTCAGAGACTTGCAAGCTAGTTTTGCAAAATCTATTACCTGCTCATGTTTTCTACAGCACCTCCGCAGGATACAGCTGTGTAGATACTGCAGACAGATGTCAGGAGTCAGGGCCAGCAGCTGTTGCCATCGTTTGGGGGACGATCATGCACAATTGTCAGAAAAAGAGCCAGACAGAGCTCTTGGCACTAACCCTGCCCTACAGCAGATAAATGTTTGACTCATTGCACCGGCTCTGCTTTTCTCCTCCTGCACACCTGATCACCACCAGCTTCTTATGTTGAGAGAGTTTTTTTTCTCTAGAATCAGATAGGCAATGACAAGACCAGACAACCAAATACTTCCTCTCCCAGCTCCTCCCTTGCTGTACGTGCTAAAATTTCCAGGTAAGGGATGACCGCAGCAGAAGGGTGTTTCTGTATGTTTTGATTTAATCTGCTAAATACAACGCTCTGTTTATCCTTGGGCAGGGCACGTGGGATGCCCAGCCACGCAGCACACCTGGGATCCAACCAGAAACTTCCAATGCTAAAAGCATAAGCTGCTGTAGCCGAAGGTGGAGAGGCAGGAGTGTCTGCTGCACCACTGATAAGCCAGAAGGACCCATGGCAGAGACCGCAGCCCTGAGATACCCATCTGGGGACTGACAAGGGCACTCTGGTGTGACGCAAATTTAAGAAACAAAATGCCAACAGAAGGGATCATAATTATTCTCATAACAGGCACAGTGCAGTTGAAAACAGAGAAGGAGTAGGAAATGGAGGCTCCCTCTTCATCAGCCCACACAGGCTGGGGGCAGAAGGAAACCAGGGGCAGAGAAACTTAAAATTATGAGCAGGTAAAGTCTGCAGTTCATTATTCAAATAGAGAAACCTGGTTTTCAATATTCAAGAGTGTCTTGAATGGAGTTATTTTGGCTGGAGTTTTATCAACAGCCAGGACAATCCCACAATTTCTGGTCCTTGCTGAAAGCCAATCAATGGAAATCCTCCACCAAATGAGTCTGTATGGCTCATCTGTAAATTATGCAGGCTGGACACTGGTACATAGGTGTGGGAAGAGGGACCTGGGTGCACGCTGTCCGGGCGCTCACTCTTAGCGTGAGTCTTACTATTCCAGACTTGGAAAGATGGGAGCAACAGCTGAAGACAAGGGAACAGAGAGCCAGTAACGAATAAATGCTGTAGACAGTATTTATTGCTACAGGTGGATCCCACACACCAGAAAACCTACCAATACACCTTTTTTGCAGTCTGATTGACCAGTACTTTGGAAAGTTTTCTGTTAACGCTATTATTGCATCTAAAAAACTCCAACATATTTAATTAGATTATCAATATTTTTGCCAGAATACTGACAATCCTTTGCAATTATAAAAACAGACATTTAAACCTAATTTCAAAGATGAATTACTCCTAGATCTGAGTTTTGACTTTTCAGTGGATTGCCAATTTAAATTGGCAGAAAAACATGAGATGAGCACCTGATACATAAGGATAAAATTGTTTTTCACACATTCCTATTTTTGAAGGATGACATTGTCTCATTGGTATAGACAGTTAATAGATGTCTGATAACTATACTATATGTGGGAACCACACTGCCAGCATGCTGCGAGACAACCAGAATGACGTGGAAATGATGTCGCTCTGGTCACAGCAAAGCCATGAACTCACTCTATAGCTGACAGGTTAGATAGCCCTTTTCTCTTGAAAAATGGTGACATCACCCCCATTCCACCACTGAGCATTGGGAGAGCCTGTACCGATGTTGCTCACACTCAAGGAGTCTCTGGAGCATCAGGTAGACTCACGCCTGGATTACTAAGTCAATCATTTTAACACTTCAATTTTTAAGTTTTCTAACCACTTCTGAGTAGCTTAACCAAGGGAAGGTACAGCCAGTATCTTCAATGAAATGTTTAGAAAGACTGTGAGCTTCTACCACGCTTTGCAAAGTGAGTGTTTCTCACCTACTAAAAGAATTTTCTGTTTCAAAGGACAGCACTATTGAAGTCCAAAGAGCACCAGAGGGTGTCGTGCAGTTGTATAACAAAAAGACAGAAATTGGAAAAACCTATGCCAAAACAGAAGTTTAACAGAAGTCAGGTAAACTGTTCAAAATTTGCTTTCCCACAACATTGACACAAGGAACTCAGAGAATCCTTCTGTCCAAGGGATTGACCCCTTCAGTCAAATAAAGGCAGAACTTGAATATTGACCTTCAGTAATCATCAGGATGCCTACACATGTAATACCTTGTCTTCAAACTCAAAACAGAGTTTAGAACAGGGAAATGAAACATAAAATAGCCAGAGTTTAATTTTCTCTCCTTTGGCTAATGTTTCTAGAAAAAAGAAAAAAGAGGGGTTCTCCTGCTGGTGTTAAGAATGAGTGCACAAAGGTATCTTGTACAGATGGTGCGGAGACTATGCAAGGCACATGATGATAAGTGCTTCAGAGCAGTAACTAAAATAAAGGTCTCCCTGTTTGGACCACAGTGGGTTTTTTACAGGTGTTTCTAAGGGATCTTTACTCTAAAGCTTCATATGCCAGTAAGATAGCATCTTCCATGCTGAGCAGACCAACAGTTCATCTTCTCATCTTCAGCTGTAGTCTATAATAGGTGAATTGGAGAAACTTAATTGGAAATCTTGCAGAAAGAAGTAATGAATTTGTCCATAACAAGCAGTTCTTCCTACAACTCTTCACCCAGAGTTCATCTTAAAAGCTGAAACATGCTATTCTAGGTGCACGGTTTTTTCTTTTCCAACCCCTTTTATTATTTTCTACCCTGAAACAAAGCAGTCTTGTTACTGATATAAATGCCTGTGTTGTTTTGAATGCTGTAAACTCTGGATTTCAATGATCTCGTACGGCAAGGAGTTTCACTGCTCAATTGTGCATAGTATTAACATGTTGAAACCTTTCAATGTTCCTATCATTATAATGTTAAAAAACAATTTGCTTCACTTCTACCTGGTCCTCTCCTCACCCTTTCGTCTCAGTTTCAGGTGTAGGCTCTCTGGGGCAGGCAGGGTATTTGGGGATCTATGAAAAAAGCTCGAAACCAAGAAGCCCTTCTCTTTGACTGCAGTCTGTAGGCTGCTGAGCTATAAATTGGCAGTGGCGATGATGGTGGTGGTTGACAGGACTCACAGGAATGGGGCTAGAAGGGATCGAGGGGGCCTCAGGACCACATCTGAGGTGTAACCACAACCAAGATCACACGAAGAGTTCCCACACAAGTCTTACCGCCCATGCTCTTGCTTATCAAACCAGAAAAGACGTTTGCTTGTTTCTCCAGAGCATGAAACGCTTCAGCAGTTTGTTATCAGTTTGAGGTCTGCTGCGCTGCCTGCGCTCACGCTCCTCGCATGGGAAGCCGTCATATGATTGCTAAAACAGGGAGGATGTAGCGTAGCAGCTAAAAAACTGCTACAGTTGAGGCCAGATTCATTATTTCTGTAAGCAGGCCCAAACCTGACCAACTCCTAATGTTACAGGAGTGATTAATTGGTTCTTTATTTTTCAAAAAATGTGGTTTCGTTTATAACTCAAGAATGCTGTCCCCATTTCAGTTTTGGCTTCGGCTCAAATGTAAAACGTCCCACCTTCCCCAAGGCCCCGTTTTTGCATTCACTTCTTAGCCACATCAATACACCAAACCCTCAGGGGATGTGAGTTACTTTTGACTTGCACCCTCCTCCCCGCCTATTTGTTCAGCACATGCCTTTCGGTGATGAGATCATGCCGAGCTGAAGTCACTTGATGCAAAAATCATCATTTTAAACCCTCAGTTGATCAGGACTCTGAACTGGGAAGCTACTGCTTGTCAGCTAAGCCATGAAGGTGGACAACCTGCATGTTTTTAGCTTTGCAAACTTCTTGCATGGTGACTGAAGCTAACACAGTTCACCTTTACAACAGCCTAGGTTACAACGACAGCTGGCAAGTCACAACACAGGGGTAAACTGTTTGCTTGCGACTGTTGGGCTACGAGAAAATGAAGGCTGCAAGGAAACATCAAAGCTCATGACGTCAAGCAATTGTAATGCTGTTCTGGCCTTAGCTTCGAACCAGTTCTGGCCTCTGTGGCTACTTTAAAGCTTCAGAAGTCTAGTTCTGGTTTTCTGAAGACTACTCTTCATGCCAGCATGAGTCTATGCAAACGTGCACGTCTGTGCTGAGCAGAAAGGGGAATTCATGCACTGCTGGTCTATAACTTGGCGCTGCTGCTGTGGCACGCGATAAGCACGTCACCCAAACACAGAAGGACAAGGAAAGGTTGGGTGACCGCTTCCGGGTGGTGAGAATGATGCTCAAGCTCTGCCACTCTAAAACCCCATATTTCTCTGAGGTGAACTTTTTAGACAGCGTCAGCTAGAGAAGACGATAAACACAGATAAGGTAAGCAGAGTGAGAGGACAGTATCATAAAATGTAATACATGCACCAAAAAAGGGCTAGAAAACAGAAAGGCAGCTAGACAAAGACAACAAAAGGAACCTACAGAAGAAGATATGTGAAGAAAAAAAAGAGGATGAAAATTATAGAGAGAGATTATTAGAGGTGTCATACAAAACAACAAAAATTAAAAGGGAAACATTAAAGGCAGGCAAGGGTGAAGTCATGGAGATTACTCTAGGCTGCACCTTGCCAAACAGTATGTAATAAAACTTAAAATTGTTCCTCCGTGGTATTGTTGTACTGCGTATTTTAAACTAGTTTCTCAACTCTTGGAATCTGTGTAGCTTCATTAGCTTCATTATATGCCATATCACATATTAGCTGAAGATTGGTCCTTTTCAGAAAAATATGACTTTCCTGGCAAAGCAACAGCTTTTACTGAAACCTCACTTTCAGTGTGATTTAGCACAACCTGAGAGTAAGCATGAAACAGCTTGTACAGAGAATTATTTTAACTGAAATTCATTTTTGTTCTCATTAAATGCAAATACTTAGCAAGCCTAGCAAGCTTGTGATTCCATGTGAGACTCATATAAAATATATTAAATTCTGAATCTTGAGACTTTCAGAATGTTCCTTTTAATACGACTATGCTACACTATCTTAAATTTACTTTATTCATAACACTGGATTTTTGTAACCATATTCAAGGTGAATACTTTCTTTTAGACAGTTTTAAGTGACCCAGGTAACCCGTACTTTTTTGTTTGTTTGAGGGAGGGTTTTTAGTCTTTATAGAAAAATATATTATTCTATCTGTTTCCTTCTGAACTGAGATGTTTTTTAGATGGCATGCAGCCTAAGTAGGATCATTTGCGAGCAAATAGAATGTTACACTTAATGCAAAACATGGTTAAAGTACAGATCAAGATTTGACTTTTTAATATATCCTGCTCTTTAAATTGTATACTCTGATTAAGACAGACCCCTGGTACATAGTGTCCCTTACATATATATGCAGACTTTATGACTTTTGCTTGTTTAACACCAGCTATTCAGACCCATCTTAGATTCTAGGCATGTGAAGGTAAGTTACATTCACCTGCTGGTTATGTCAAATAAACAGCTAGCATGGCCTGTTACAGAGCAGTATTGGCTTTCACAGCTGACCAAGAAGCCACTGTATTTAATTTATTTTTGAAAATATTTTCTATTTTTGAAATGGAACTGCATTAATATATTGCTTTTGCTCTACCAAGAAGGATAAAAGCAGCAGCAAAAGATAAGGCAGATGTTTCAAAATTGCACGGCAAGGAGCTGAAAACCGATGTGCTAAAACCCCCACCTATATCTATTCTGCTTTTCCTTTTTCAAAATGATGGCTGCGTATATGGACAGTACTGAAAAGTTATTAACACTTCTAGTAAGCAACCTGACTAGCTTTTCCAGTTGGCTCAAGCATCGTTACGGCTGACAGCTGAGCGACATCATCGGCATTTCCATGAGCAGACTGGTCAACCTAACACTTGTGGCAGCTGAGAGGCGGTGGTGCCCCAGCTCCCGCTCTCCAGCTTGACTTGGCTAGGCTAGGCTTGGCTTGGCTTGGCTTGCCCTGCCCCTGCCTGTCTTGTGCTGGTGGCGGTGCTCATCACACCTTCCCAGTAGGCAACACCTCTCTCTGAACCAACAGAAAATCAATCACCAGCTTAATTCTGACTCTTCTGCCAGGTTGAGGGCTTGAGGTGAGCATGGGAGGTGGGCAGGCTGGGCTGCCGCCACCATACTGGCCTCATGCCAACACACAGAGGGAGTCCCCAACTCTGAAATGTCTGCTCCAAAATGCTAACGGCATGACAGTATAGCACCACCACTCCCCCCCAAGTATATTTTTGTAATTTAGGGTCTAAATGTGCCATTTGGTTATGGATAGCACGCACCGCCCAGCACACCCGTGAGCCAGGCTGCCGCAACCTGGTGGCCGAGGACGGTCTGATCCCAGTTCTGATTATCTAAATCCCATATAACTCCTTTAATACCCAAGGAGGTCCTGCGGATGACTTAGGCTGCTGTAAATCAGATCACAGTGTGCAGCTAGGATTTCAAAATGCATTATGAGGAACTAATTACTTATCACAGCGACGTAACAGTTGCGCTTTGCGAGGTGGCAGTGCAGAGCGACGGACTGATTTTTCTTTTTTATACATAGTACTAAAAATGAGCAAAAACTAAGTTAGGGGGAGCCGAGAGCAAAACCTGCAGAATGAAATAAGACGCGTTTCACAAGCAAAAATGGAGGGGGGGGAAAACAGCATTAAAATCTCCCTGGCATTCACCAAAAGTTCTGTTTGCAAATAAGCAGTAATAACTTATGATACATTCTGTGCACAAAAAATCATACAAAATCTGAATGACTGGAGTAAACCGACCCGTAGGCACCTCGCAGGGAGCAGGAAACGTTGCTAGACTGCATTAAGTATAGAACCGATGGTATCAAACAAGATCAAAGGTTCATTTACAGGAAACTCGATACAGTTACTCACTTGTTGATCTTGCAGTTTAACTCCAACTACCCTGAAGGTGTTAGTGGCCGTGTTGTGGTATATGTTGATTCTGCTGAATCCCTGCTGTCCAGGTTTGATTGGCACCCATTTCTTACTGGTATCGTCATAGACCATAACTGAAGCCCGGGCTTGGCAAATACTCTGTTCACTGGAGAGCAAAAACAACAAAATCAGGGAAAAAAAACAGTGAATTTGCTGCATGCTACCAAAAACATCTAAAGGAAAAGAAACCAACAGAAATTATCAGAACTACTTACAATGTATGTTTTATAAGAGATCTGCTAATCCTTTGAATGCAATCTGCCTGTTAAATTAAAGCTGGCATTTATGTGTTCATAGACTTAAAAAGACTCCAGTATGCTGCTGGTTTAGAACTGATAATCTATTTTATATAAAAATATTAGGCCCTGAGGAATAACTTGTATCACACAAACGTTATAAAAACTGTCCAATAGTATGAATGCTCCATTTATTTTATGTACCTATTGGCAAGTGAAGCCTTTCACATTTGCATGAAAACTTACCAATCTTTTACCTCTTAGTGACAAAATAAACGTGACATCCACAGCTGAGTTACACATTTAAAACTGGAAGCAAGCAGACCTTGAACCAAAAGCCACGTTAGGTAAACTGAAGAAATCAATTACATTAATCCAGCTGACGCCTAATACCCAGACCTGCTGACGCACTTAGAATTCCCAGAACACACGGTGCAAAACACAGAGGAACTCTTTTTTTCCTTCATCCGAGTAGCAAAGAAGGTGGGGAAGGGGAATCCACACATGTCTGCATTCCAGTGTTAAAGTACATAGCCATTATCTTGTATAGCATTAAGAACTATTTTTTTTTCGGTAGATTCACAGAAATTCATCAGTTCTTTACTTCTTGCTAGCATATTTGTGACGAATATACATATACCAGATTTGTGCTAAAACAACACCCTTCGTGTGCAAGAAATGCCACTGGCAAATACTGCTGAGGTGACATGTCAGTGCGGGTCAGGACTGCAGTTCCCACTCTCCTGAATTCCCAGCCACTTTTCCTATATCAGAGGAAATAAGAGTTCCTTATACGAAAAAAAACCCACCCCCAAATCCTCCAAATTTTGGAGATTTGAGATCTTCAAATGAAAGAGGGATTTTCAACAAGAAAGTAGTGCATCTTAGGCCTAAGGAAAGCTGTTAGCATTTCTGTCCTGCAAAAATCTTAAGTTCGTGACAGCCCTATTAACTTTAGACCTATGTGTATTGATATATACCTCCCTTCCTCAGCCCAAGCCGCATTAAATAATTTTCAGCAGTGCAATATCAAGTGGTAATCTGCTTTGCACACGAATCCCTTTTCTTCCCCCTCTTGCATACACATCTGTGTTTTTGTTTTGCCTCAGTAATGCCTCACTTGCAGGCAAATACATGAGAAGCTCCTGGGTGGTGCTAAGCCATATCGCTGCACTGCCACCGTGCCAAATTACGCCACTTGGAAATTATACCAACTGCTGCAAACCCAAACCCACCCGACCCCATCGCTCTCATCTTTTTAATGAAAGGGAGCACGTTACTGTAAGTATTAAGAGGATCTGGGTAGATTACAGCAGCAATTTTCAATCTCTTCTGATTTGTGGGTCTCGAAAAGATTTCCAAGGCAGATGCATCCCCCCCTTGTACACTAAAGCCTACTGACTCTGGCTTGTTTTATCATCACTTCGCATAGCCTTCAGGCAGCCCACAGACCTCCTCCAGGCTGTGGGTAAGAGCCTGAAAACTCTTCACAACATTTACAGAAGGAGCAACAACGCTGGCAGACATCTCCGTAAAGAACAAGGTAAGAAAACTCAGAATAAATTGGATTTTTATTACGTAGCATGGAAACAGCTAGATTCTGTTACAGGAGCAATATATTCAGATCAAAAAGACTAAACATTAGCTTATTTATATTCTTCAGAATTGATAAAAATCAAGCTTTTCCACCAGTTGCTGTTGCTTTGTTATGCGAGATACCTGGAGAACAGCTGTGCCTTTGCTGATGTACTTAGCCAGCAAATACCTCTCCATCCCTTTTCTTAAGGTAAGCTAATGCCTCATGGCAGCTTCTCCATATCTGACACTAGCAGCTGAGGGATTTGAGCTCACTCCAGCTTGTCTAATCCTCAACTGGTCCAAGAGCTGCAGATTGGCAGCAGCGGTGGCATCGCCTGCATCCTCCAGACCTGCCCCGGGATGCACACTCTGCTTCGGCTTCACAGACAGGAAGGGTGGGAGAGAAATGCACCAGCAAAAAGGCTGCTGCACTGGGTTAGCTTTGCCATGTGGAAGTGGAATGGCTAAAAATAATCTCTGGTGCAGTCCTGTGGCTGGATGGTGCCCACCTGCGAGTGCTACCAGGTGTCTCGTGCCACCTCCACCTCCAGAGGTGGGGGGAGCATCAGCTGTCTGGGGCCACAGCAAGGCCCTGCCCAGAGAACCAGCGGACTCCCAGAAAACATGGTCCCCATGAGAGTCCCACTCAGCCAGTGTGACACCAAGTCCTTCTCCTCAGGCCTTGCTAGTCGCTACAAGCCTCACTGTACCAAAGTAAGCAAGAGCACACCACTGGTTCCATCAGAGCAAGTCTGGGACCCAGTGTTGTCTCCGCTTCAGATGAATTTTGGAATGCACGATTGCTGTGGGGTCCTTAATTAGTCAAAATTAATTAAATTATCCTTTACTTATAACAAAGAGAACACACCTAACCATACAGATACGAGGGCCTTACCATGGCATTGTTTGTAATGCCATAACCATATTCTGGTGGATACAGCAACTTTGCCTTCAGACTTTGCTGCCATTGAAAACTGCAGCATAGAGCCCTTCTACAAGCTCATGATTGAAATACAGATCTAGACCCCAGGAGCAATATTTAATGCATGACAACCAATTGCTACTGTAACATAAAGCAACACATCAAGCTCAGTCCCTGCTCTCCCTGCAGTCAATGGAAGTTTTTCATCATTCATTTAAATGGAAACAGGATTAAGGCTGTTATCTGGCCTCCAGTGAAATAACAGAAAGGAACATAAAGCAAGTACAGCACAAAGGGAATCCTTTCCTGCCAAGCACTTCATCAACCTTTCAAAACCTAAAATGCCCCCAGGGACCCATTGCTAGCTTGCTGTCTCACCCTAAATGAAGGTGTAACTCTTTATGCCTGAAGACTCCTTACTGGTCCTACCCACAAAAAGCACAACTCTCCCACTGCCACTTCAACAGGCTTCCCTGAAAACAGTCCAGAAAACGTTCCTCTTAGAAAGGTCAGTGAGAACCTCTCTATTACCCTCTGCGGAGTCCATTACTTTAAACGTAAATCAAGCAACATTGCTTTCATGAAGCTCCAGCATATTTCTCTGCTATTTTTAGGGCTATACATCACTGATGCTTATTTCAACAACACATAACAGGTAATAAATACAGGGTTTAGTCACACTACTGTATGGTCACATTCCTTCCCCATGAGAAGACTCTGGCAGATATCAGTATTTATACATAAAGTCGTGAGTGTAGCTTCTAGAACTTGCCTTATCTTCCTAAGAATACACAAGTTACTGAAAAATGGGTATGTGTTGGAGAAGACTCATCAAGTTTCAGCTGCCTTTCCAAATATTACTAATTCCCCTATTGACTGTTTACATTACACTAATACGCAAGTCATCAGACTCATCCACCTGGGCTTCCACCACAGGCACTTACTTGCAAAAAAGATAAAAACTGCATCATGGAGGGGTCTTAATTACAACATTGTTCAGTTCACATTTGTGCATAACATCTATTCCACTGCGCTGCAGTATGCTCTAGGGCAGATTTGAGACATCTTATATATATGTGAAGGGGAAGGGGTTCTTCCTAGGGATCCCTTTACACCCAAATCCTAATATCCACCCCTATCTATTCTGAACGCATTTTCTCCTCAGTGCTTTACATCTGTGGGATGGCAAACCTCTGCACCAGGACCACTTGTTTGCCTGAAGTTAAAGCAAATCTGCTTAACTTCCTATCTGATAGCAGCAGACTGCACTGGGAAATCCTTCATTCACAGCTGGCACCCAAACCCCAGCATTCATCATTGAGATTTATAGAATATTGTTTCGATATTACAAAACTATAAATTAAAATATATACGTTTGCAGGTGATGATGTTTGCTTCATTTTGTGTAACCCATTTTGACCCAGTGTCTTCCATCTCTTTGCTTAGGATCCATCTTCACAAATTAGCAGATTAGCTAGTTTGGAGTTAACCCTTCTTGAAAGGGTCAACGTTGACCCTTCTCCCCAGCCCCGGTGAGAGCGGGCAGCCAAGCACAGCCCCCAGGCTGCGTGGCACGCTTGGGCTGGCCCCACAGCTTTGCTGTTTCCTCCGTGCTTTGCTAGCTCTGGTGTCAGCAGCACTTCCAGCCCCAAATGAGTCACGTCAAGCTTACAGGTACCAGTTAAGGTACAGAGACTACTGCATTCGGGGAGAGCAGTTGTGGGGAGCAATGAGGCTGCACTTTGAGACCGTGCTGCAATGAAGGTGGCTCCATCCAGAAATGTCTCTCCTCTTCCATCTGCGCAGAACTTTGAAAAATCCAGTCCTTTCTTCCTGGCTTTTAGTAAATTTATGATTCCCAAGGTCTCATAGCCAAAAAAGAGCCATAAAGGAGTATGGAAAAGACAACACAGGGAGTCTTAGGGAAAACACCTGTATTTTTTGTGAATTATCACATGAGACTTAATGGGGCTGCTCAACATTACCTGGCTGACTGCAAGTAATTAAATAGGAGGAGGAAGCACAGGGGGAAATGAAATGACAGAAATGACTGTGGAGGTTGGGAGCGGTGGAGCCACGGATCAGGGAAAAGTCCTCCTGCTTCACTCTGCCTAGCCCAGTGGGATATCCAAATATATAAGCAAAAAGCTCAGGACAGAACGACAGAAGACCTGGAATAGAGATTAAGCAGAAAAAAAAGGAGTAACCCATAATGTTTGGAGGCAAGTCTTTGGCAGAGAGGCTCTGAAGGGTCTCCGAGGCTTTTCTCTCCTGGCCCAGATGAGAGGCTGTTGCACTGCTCCTTCATTGACCTGTTTTCTCTACTTACAAGGTATCTTCTTACGAATAAAACTTTTGCAGAGCATGGTACTGAGTCTCTCAGCCCACATAGTGACCCCGGGCAGAACCTGCCATGGCACAGGGTCATCTCAGCCCCCCCCAGAGGGCAATGGGAGAGGTTTAAAATAGTTTCTCCTAGAGCCACAGCAATGCCATACAGCTTTTGGAGGGTCACAGAATCATGCTCACAAAAGGTGTAACAAATGACAGCAACTAACCAACTTCAGGGTTAAACACCTAATTCTGTGGGCTCTGCTCCAGAATGCCAGCTGGTCCAGGAGACTTCCACCATCCTTTCCATTTACAGACACAACTGCTTCCTTGGGGCAGAAATTTGCTTAGCACAAACTGTGAAAGCTCCCCTGATAGAAATCAAGCTACCTTGTTGCAAGCTGCTCATTATTCTCTCACCTTCAAACAAGCTGTCTTCTGGTATTCTTAGGAAATGCAAACAACTACTTTCACAAACATTTACCTTATTTTTAATTTCTGTTTTCCATGCATTTCCTTCCCACGCACTATAAGTGCTTAATAATTAAAAATTATTTTGGACTGACCTAACCATCCTTGTTGGTGTCAGAAATTGTTAATACTACTTTGCCCAAGGTCTGTCCTACCTGGGAACAAACCCTCAGCACACAGACCCAGACTGGCTGAGATAACCCACGAGCCATTTAACACATCTCGCTCTACTTGTCCACTGAGTCTGCCTACAGAAAGTCACAGTTGTGTGGTTAAACCTGACGTGCAAGAAGTAGATGCTGATGCTGATTTAAGAAACCGACAGAATTCTCTCAATGTCAGCTTAAACAGCTAACGTAAATACAAAATCCTGTATATGCAGACGTGTGGTCTGTGTGGTACGTATCTGTGTTAACCTCAAAATTAGTAATCTACAACTTGTGTTCCTGCAGCACTTAAAGTGTACTGCAACCTCTAATGGACTAATTTGATAAAAATTTTAATTGTTTCCACTACCACAAATATAAAAATGACTGGGATTCAGGGAAAGTATTTCAGTAGTAATCTTTATAGAAACAGGTGGAAATTTCTCGCAGACAACTGGGTTTACAGAACAAAAAAACCTGGGAGATCCTCTGAACACAAGTCAGCCAGGTCATCTGGGCTCATAGAGACTGTATCAGAGATCTGAGCTCATTGCAGATAAAATTGCTGTAGTGCAGTGCCTCTCCAGCCTTCCCACCAGAGATTCACCACCAGCTTTGCTCATGGCCCCATTTCTCCTTGGGAGCCTCATTTCTCCAACACAACAGCAGTCATGCTTATGACTCCTTTTGAGACCTCCTTTTTCAAAGTCTACTTCCCTCTGCAACCAGACTCACAGGACAGCCAGTGTCACCATTGCTCATCCTACCTCTGTCCCAGAGCACTGAAGAACTTACTTCCTCAGCAACGCAGCAAAACTTCATGGTGAAAAAACACTTGGTCACACTAAAGGACAGTCAAAATCCATAGGGACTTTACATCCAGATAGGAGCTTTTAATCCTCAGTGACATGCAGATGCCTGAATGTCTTCTAGCAGACATTTAGAAAAACAGCAGTCACAGCTTCATGTGGAAAACGAAGGTGCCACGACAGACTATCTCCATTTGCTTTTCTGAGTTCCATTTCTGTGGTCAGAAATCCTCAATTTTCACTCACTCCTGGTTGCCTGCCTGTGCAGAGAGACCTCCACCACAGTGCTGCCCTTGCCCCAGCCAGCCTGAAGTGAAACCCAGGTCCCAGGGGAGCTGCTATTTTTTGATCTCCTGCTTAGCTTGCATGTACACATGGAAGATCTGCCTCTGGTGCTGGGCTTTGGCTGCCTTGCCAGCAGAAGATGAGCCTTTTGCACTGAGCATCTGCTGCAGGTGCCTAGCCATCACCTTTCTCCACTGTTAAACTCCAGCATCTAAATAGTTTAATATTAAATAATTACAAGAAAATAGTACAAATACAAAACCTCATTCGTAAGCAGCTCTCAAGAAGACTGATGCTGTTAAATAAAGTCATGACATACCTGCAAGATAAATACGTATTTTACAGAGCAGGAAATGGAAACACTGGGACCTACAGCATTAACAACAGTAAGATGAACACCAGTTCACCTGCACAAGGAAGAGTATTTAGAAGTTACTCTTCTTTCTGCTAGCAATGAGACATTAATTTTGAATCCTCCCTTATTATGTTGGCATACCCAGTGGGAATTGCCATGTCCAGGACCTGTTGCAGACATCCATTCCAGACACCTGAGCTGGAAACCAAAAAAGAGACAGTTTATGAGACACACAGATCTCACACTAAGCCAGGACTCTGGGAGATGAGTTGCTAAATTTGGGAATACGCATCCAATCCTGGCATGACCAGAGAAACTTGCATAACCTTCTGTCACCCCTCAGTGCTCCTGAGCGTGGGAGAAGTGAGCAGAAATACAAAAAATAAATAAAGTATGCAAAACGATAATGCAGTGGAAGAGATGTTCCACCGGGGCCTGACTTTCAGTCCAGAGCAGCTCAGACCTCAGCACCACCAGCAAAAGTCCACGGAGAGCCCTGACCTCTCGGTGTCCACCGCAGGACTTAAATAGCACATCCGCCAATCTGTGGAGATTGAGGGCCAGCGGGGTGGCCGCAGATTGATGCCCTTGTAAGGTGGCACATCTGCTTAGTTTATGTTGCTGAGATTTTGAAACTATGTGGTGGTGTTAATTTTAACCCATCACTTTTCTGGTAGGTTTTGCAAACTGAAGCGTAAGAATCTAAATCATGCTACGGGGAACTCCAGTCACCAGTATCTCAACTCAACATCTTTTAAAAAAGTGCTTTAAGAGAACTGCTTTGCAAAAGGCACTTCACAGAGGAAGTGTACTGATTTAGAGAAGTGCCATCACTGCCGGGCAGCCAGACTCCCAGAGCTGTGCCGTGCCCCAGGATGCTTTCCCTTCAGCCTCCACCTGCTCCAACAAGGTCAGGTCACCGCTCTCTCCTAATGGAGAAACTCCATTGCTCTGCTAATGCTTTAATTCACATGTTTGTTTCTGCAATGAAGCCTGGTTCACTTTCAGATTTTGCATACCACCTTGAAGATATACTTTGGGGCTTCCCAAAAATAAATATCAAGGAAATGTTTAGAAGTTCCTAAAAATAAATCAAGTAAATGGCCTGGGGAAACACTATGAACCCAACTGGTCAAAACCAGTAAAAAAGCAACTTGACTAGATCAGGTTGCTATTAATATAAACTATTTCCCTTCACCCTTAAATTACAGAAATAAAAACAAGAAGTAACTAAGCTTGTAAAATACACATTATGCAAAACTCCAAACGGAACTGTCAAGTGAAAATACATGACTGAGGGCTCTCACTCAGGGGCCAGCCATATCCATATTTCAGGAGAACAATACCTTAAACAAAGGCTTTGAAAGATCATAATCATAACTAATAGTCAGGAGAGGCAGATGCTTAAGTGAATACAGGAAATCAACACAAAGGTCTTTCATTAAAGCTGGCGCTGCTTTGCCTCGGTTTCCCTTCGATCCCAGAAGAAATGCAAATAAACCTGCGACAATTCCCCTGGAGCCGACGGAGGCAGACCAGGAATGAAGGAGGCTCGCTCCGTCAAGTCAGCCTTTCCCTTGCTGCCAGGGGATGCATATTAATGTAGCATTGCCATAAAAGCTTAATTACCATTTTATACAATTATAAATTATCCTATGAGGCTATAACCAAAACGCAGACCTTCAGCGCTCATGACAATAAACGCCCTCCTTCTCGCCCAGTCATCTTAACCCTGGCCAACAAATTCCTCGCCATCCTGCACAGTCCCCAGATACTTACGTGCCTGCCATCGAGGGAGACCTGGTCAGGCAATCCCGCAGGAGTATACCCTCAAATCCGGCACGTGTGCTTAAACCCAAATAGGCTATTTCACCTGATCGCTGAGCAGAAGACAAATTTGGCAGGGAGACAAGCTAGGAGCCTCTTTGAAAGCTAAGAACCAAAACAGGAAAGGGAAGCGCTATCGAGAGAGCAGAAGGGCAGGAAGTAACACTTACTTGTACGGCAGGGGCGGGGAAGGGACTGTAAAGAAGAAATGTATTCTTTCTTTCAGCTGATTTACCTAACGAAAGCCCAAACAATAGAGATTAAGATTAGATGTGCCACCTTTGCTTCATTGGTGGCATGGATATTAAAAACATTGCGCTTATTTTCTCAAGGTACAAGTTCACTGTCCAAGAGAAAGAAAAAGCAAACAAACCTTAGACCCAGAAAACATTGCTATTATTCATTTATGGCATGGGCGTTTGCACGGTGCAGAACCAAGCCCAGGGGCCCCGGAGGTACCGAGGGCCCCCGTTCTGTCTTGCCACCAGCCTGGCGCTGCCTGCCGGCTGGCTGGGGGCCAACTCCAGCCCCAAACTTGAACTGGCACCACCCAGTGCCCAGGCTACTGCGTGCTGGCTCTCAGCTACCATAGCAACACAATTTTGGGGGATGAGCTGCCTTACACCTGGCTAACTCAGGGTCCAGCCAAAGCAACTTCTTTTTCTTGGTCACCTCCCAACCCCATTGTCCTACTTGGGGCATCACCATAAATACATAAACTAAGAAACACACCTTCACAGAAGGAGGTAATCGATCAAGTAGCTTATAGAAGGACATGGGAGAAATCTTCAACATTTAAAAAACAAGACAAAATCTGCTCCATGGTGTATGCCCTCCCTCCACCACCAGCAGCTGGGAGAGCCCCTGTTTGGCTCAGCAGCAGCTGGCCCTCAGCCAGTTGGTACTCAGAGACGGCAAAGATGGGACTTTGTCACCTCCCCACAGCACCCCTGCCTGCCCCACGCTAAAGCCTCCCACAAACAGCATGCGGGATTTGCCTTGGAGTAGCCACTGCAGAGATCACAGCCATAAGCTGGAGGAGACCTTATCTCATGGCTTCTGCTCCAGAAAATGTGCCACCCGCTATTGCCTTTCAGACAGTTAGTTCTAGGTACTGTCTATTTTTTAGTTAGCGTGCCCTGCAAAACTAAACCTCCTTGACCATGCTGTGGCTGCAGGAGACCACTGAGAGACCACAAGCCTTCATTTCCATCCTGCCATGAGCTGCTTACACATGTGTTTGCATGCATCCGCGTTCCCGTTAACAGGGAGGTTGGGCTTTCCCTGCAGCGATGCTTCCACCTCCCTTGCCAACTCTGCAGGCTCTCATTTGCCTGCTCTGCCACTCTGTTAACTGGGCATCGCCATTGGGCTACAGCAGCAAGACGGCCTGTTAACACAAACTGAAATTTTGTAAACTTAAGAATAATGATTCAAAATATTGCAGCAAAAAGAGTGGAGGTCTTGGAGAGCAGAAGGGCAAATTAATACTTTAGTGTTACCTCACCCGGGGTAAAACTGCAGCAGAGGTGGCAGGCCCTTGAGACAGATCATCCTTCTTTTCTCCCCATTCCTTGGTTTGGCAAACTTGGCAAACACATGGATGTAAACACCCTGCAAATGCTGTCTAGTCTTCCTAGTTTCACCTCAGGGTATGAGCACATTATGGCATGAAGAGATTAACAGCAGAGGGAGAACTAATGCCAGGAGAACACGACAGGGAGAACTGTATGGTACCGGCTGTGGTCTGGTTGCAAGTAGAGAAAGCTGGGGTTTTCTTCCTGCTTTCACATGAAATTATCTTCTGGGGGGCTTTTGTCAGAGTGCTCACAAGTTCTCTTAACATGCCTAAATACATCACCTGTTATCTGTGATGACACAAACACGAACAGCGCAAATACCAAATGCCAACAACTGCAGACCAAACCCACTGGATGTTCAGAGACCCCAGCTGCCTCTCCCTGCCTCTGGCCACCAGCAGCTCTCCCTGCCTGACAACTTTATGCCCTTTACCTTAATAGCACTTTTTAAAACACGTCGCTTAAGAAAATACTTCTCCCATGGCGTTACTTGATGTGAAGGGAGTGCAACATTGGCACATTGGTGTCTGGAAGGGGATAGGAAGGTTCACACCCACTTGTGTGTCACTGCAGCATTTTGCTGAGCCACTTTGCCCCCACTCAGGCATTACACAAACCAGGAATGGACACGTTACCTAATCCAAACCCAGTTCCCTAAAGTGCAATGCAAATGAACTACTTCCCTCCAGTGAGGCATTGCACAAAATCTTATCTTTCTCATCTACTTTGATCCTTTTTGCCCATCTGCCCAAACTCAACCTGGAGCAGCGGTGGCACCCAGGCAACCTCCTACAAATGGTGGAACTTCTCGGTTCTTGAAGACCTGTTGGAAACAAAGCAGGGACCTGTGATTTTATCACAAGCATGTAGCCTTCCATGTACACGGGCTTTCTCTGGGAGTCAGCACCAGAGGCTCTGAATTCTCCACTAATGAGAGCAAAACCTGCAGAGCCCCGAGGAGACCAGTCCTCAGGAGATCACACAACCCCTCACGTCCCTGCAGTGGTTTCAGAGTTCAACAGACATCTGAATAACCTTAGATCCCCATTTAATACAGCAAGAAGAGAGGAGTGTAAGAAACAGGCTGAATTTGGCAAAACACGCCAGCTATATAAACACCTCAGTGCAGTTTCTGCTGGGGAGCAAGGGCCACAAATGCCCCGAGCAGAGGAGCAGAGCGCTTTTCGCATTCACTGGTTTTCCTGTTGCAAACGATTGCTTTCATGGTCCAGCTGAAAGACCTGCCGAAACTATTGGTGAAATGGCACCTCATAAAAACATGGGTGTCAAAACCTGGTCGACCTCACGGTTGCCAGTGCGAGCCCCGTTCAGCTGCAGCTGCTGACTCCTCTACAGTCAATCTCTGTATGACTGAAGGGTTTCGGTTTTCAGCTGATGGGGGAAGTCTAAAACCCAACAAGAAATAAAGTCCTCACTGACATTTAAGCAAAGCTTTTTCTGATGTGCTTTTTATATGTCTTTTTTTTCCTGTTTAATGAAACATTTTATTACCACTTTTCTGGGATTTCAATTTGGCTGCATCTTCCCGATACTACACCTTTCTGCTTTGAGATCTGGATGGCTTTGGGGCACTACCTTGTTTCATTCAAAAAATCATGCTTTTCATGAATTTAAAACTTGATTTTATTTGGAATCAAGTGGCAGCTCCTCCGCATAGCTCCTACAGTGCTTAGACTGCTGTTGTAGATCTTGCCCATGTGAACAGTACTTCACTGCATGGATTAGAAAAGAAGGACAGAACCTGAAAAATGCAACTCCAAATAACTATGGACTCAAATCACTAGGTGCCCAGCTCAGCCACGCTGGCTCCACTGTTCTAGGCAGAGGGATTCAGGAAAATGGACTAAGGAAAGCCCTGAGCCGCCTTTTTATTTCTGTTTCCATGTGCCTGGGATAGATACAGTCCTGGATTTGGGGGGAAGGAGACAGCAATCAGTTGTCAGAATAGTTTTCCTGCTAAACCAAGCAGATATAATTCTCCATACACACAAAGATCAGCTACAATAATATCAGCTTGAATAATCTGGTGTTAAAGATTTGATTCTCCTGGACACAAACACCTTCGAGCGCACCTGAAAACTCCCAAGCTCCCCCCAGCTCCTGCTAGCACCGTGCGTGCCCGAAGCACAGCGAAGAGCAGGTCACGACTGACACCGCCAGCGCCATGCCGGGAAACAGTGACAGGGAGTGGGACAAAGCCCAGCGCTGCCCCTCAGTGCTCCCGTCAGAAGCCAAATTAATTTCATTAAGCGCTACAGAATACATTCCAGCAGAAGTGCCTCTAATCACCCCTTTGCATTGCTGAAATGCCTCCCTGGCCCTGGACTAGAAAGGAAGCACTTAGAAGGAAACAGCGCGCTGGGACAAATGGCAAATAAGACCCAACAGCTGATTTCTATCCGGTCCTCACAAAGGACCGTATGCTGGATAACCAGATTATTTCAGTCATGTGTTGGGATCTGTGTGAGAAGATCGGGATTCCTGAACACAGAAGCGAGGGCTTTAGTTGCAATTATGTGAATATTCCCATAGGTTTCCGAGCAGCGCGTCTGCTGGCCGTGCACTAGGCTTTCACATTCCATGTCTCCACTTTTGGACATTTTCATTAGGAGATGAAACACAATTTGTATGAGACAATAATGTTATATATTTTCAATCCTTAGAGCTACAGACTGAACCCAGAAAAGTGAGCGTCTCAGCCTCAAAATGGCTCATCCTCAAATACAAAACCCAGTTACTTTTTAAGAATGAAATGAAGATGCACTGGAACGTGTTGTGTATACTCTAAAAAGACTATTACAACCATAATACAAAAATAAAACTGTAACCATCTAAGAATGACTATGATTAAACAACGTGATTGAAACATTTTTTCTCAACAAACATACACTCCACACCTTCCAAATAACTTTTTATGCATGTATATCTGTTGTTTTTAATTCAGTGTTACTCTAAAAAGGCATCTTATTATACTGCACAAAATTCAAAATTTGCATATGGCGATGTCTTTCATTTAATAACCTCATGATTAAGAAATCTGAAAGTTCACACTGAAGCTGTACACACAAATTGCATAAACTGCAAGAAGATTGTATGAATATATGCACAAATGCTACAAAACAGCATATAAAATATGCAGTTATATATCAGATTTGCAAAACTAATTTCACAGCTGTTAATAGTCTTTGAATGTAAGACATTTCCTCACACGCTGAGATTTGCAACTGCTAAACATGCTGATGAGACAAAAAAAATTCCTTGTCCTCGGAGAGTTTAACCCTGTATGTTAATATATGCTACTGCTCTCTCGAATGGTTTTTCATGCTCTTCACTCATTTAAAAGGCGCAGGAGAGATACTGGATGGGAGAGCAGAATACACTTATTTAGTACCACAAGAGTTAAAAATGTGCAATGAGGTAAGGCGCTCACTGCCACTTGGGCAGCAAAGCACTTGTTCCTGCACTGGGTATATTTTACAAACAAGAGTCTTCTTGAGACTATT